AGAGGGAGTTGGCAGGGAGTGAGGGGATTTGAACACGAGAGTGAGGAGCTTGAAGCCGATCAGTTCGGTGATGAGGAGCCAGTGGAGCCTGGGCCTGAGCTGGGGAGATGTGGGTGTGGAGTTTGGTTGGGGTCAGACTGCGAGCGGCAGAGTCTGAATGAGCTGATCTTGTGAATGGTGGAGCTGGGGAGACCGGTGAGGAGTGTTTGAATAAACCAGGTGGGAGGTGACAAACTCATGCACAAGGGTTTCAGCTGCATTTGGGGTAAGGTATGGTCGGAGGTGGGCAATGTGGCAGAGGTGGAAGAAGGCGACCGGATGTGGGGGGAAAGGACAGCTGGGGGTCAAACCGGATGCCTAGGTTGCGCACTGGCTCGGTGAGTCTGAGGGAGAGCCCAGGGAGGTTGAGGAGTTTAGATCCGCAGGAGTGAAGACATTGATAGGATCCAAGGAGTATGGCTTCCGTCTTGTCCACACTCAGCTGCAGGAAGTTTACACTCACCAGGCCCTGATGTCTGCCAGACAAGCTGATAACATCGGGGGATCTGGAGTTGGGACTCGAGAAGGCAAAGTAGATTTGTGTGTCATCCACATACATGTGGAAGTTTACCCCGTGTCTGCGGATGGCATCGCCCAGAGTGAGCATATAGATAAGGAAAAGACGAGGGCCAAGGATGGAGCTCTGGGGTATCCCACAGGTGACCGGGCGGGTTCGGGAGGAGAAACTATTTGTTGAGATGAAATGGAGGCGGTTGGTTAAGTAGGACTCGAACCATGCGAGTGCGGTCCCACTAAGGTAGATGAGGGAGGAGAGCTGATGGAGGAGGATGGCGTGGTCGACTGTGCAAATGCGGCAGAGAGATCCAGGAGGACGAGGAGGCAGAGGGAGCACTAGTCACAGATACAGAGAATGTCATGTGTGGCTTTGACGAGCGCTGTCTCTGTGCTGTGGGCAGTCGGAGAAAACCAGACTGCAGGGACTCGAGGAGGGAGTGGAGGGAGAGGTGTGACCGAAGTTGACCTGAAAAAATGTGCTCCGGGACTTTGGCAAGGAAGGCTATGTTGGAGTTGGGGCAGTAGTGGGTGAGATTAGAGGGATCGAGGGCGGGATGAGGCTTAGTTGAGGAAGGGCAGGAGGAGGCTCACGTGGAGCATAAACACCAGCACCTCAAAGACGTGGTAAGGTTCTATATCAAATGCAAAGATTATATTATTATAAACATAATGTTTCAGAACAAATTTGATAAATAGTTCAATAGTTATCCAACCTGTTGTGCATTGTTGCATTTCTCCCCCCTGTTAATTCAAGCGGGGGCCAGAGCCAATGACATGTCTACGATAACAATGTCTGGGTTAACAAAAAAAAACAGTCACGTGGAAGGATTGGCACAAGTAAATCTGACGTTTATTTACTTGTTTAGCAAATGCAATTCACTTAGTAAAATTAATTAAAACAGCCGTGTGACCTTAAGGGTCAGTCAGCAGGAGGGAAAACAGACCCATTTAGAACAGTCTGCAAAGCAATCAACAGCAACTTAATGATCCTAATCCTTGTATTTGATACAGCGACGTCAGGAGGATGTCTCAAAGTGCTTCACAAAACACCACCGTCAATTCACTTTACACTATATTCTGTGAAGCGCTTTGAGAAGCTTCTATAACATAATAAGGCGCTATATCAAATGCAAGGATTATTATTATTATTATTATGTTGACCAACAATTGACTTGGTACACGTTAGAGATTAATTTCTGGGTGCCGTGGTCAACAATGGTCTTTACATTTCACGAGTTATTTTAATCTTTTAATATGTCGCGATCAAATTTAATCCGTAATACAATTAGTATAATTCACAAAGATCTCGCCATAAATCTGTGTCTCGAACTCAGTCGGTAACGCTCCCAACACTGAGTCTGAAGGTTGTGGGTTCAAGCCTCACATCGGGGCTTTGTATTCCTGTTATTGAAGGCGGACGCTCCATTGCAGTGATGGGGGAGCCCTGCATGGTTGGAGAGATATTAAACAGAAGTTCTCGTCTGTGCCTGTTTATGTGGACGTTAAGGATCTCCTGGCGCTCTTGAAGAGTGTCCTGACCAACAATCCCCCAGATAATATTGATCACTCCCGTCAGAGCTGTTTGTAATCATAATAACAAGCCTCACACATCAGGGGGACATCTCAAAACGCTTCACAGGGTATTCTGTAAAGCGTAGTGACTGTATTTTGTAGGCAAACACTGCTGTGCATCACGTTTTCTTAATAAAACAGAGTGAATTTAGCAGAATTGATCAGAAGAGAAATAAGTTGTTCGCCTAAAAACAAACAGCCACATTTCACAGTAACATCTTGTGAAACGCCTTGAGATGTCTTGACCAGGCGATGAAGCACTACATCAAATGCAGGGGTTATTTTGTTGCGTCAGCCTGGCTCAGTGGTAGCATTCTCTCTCACCTCTGAGTCTGCAGGTTGTGGGTTCAAGCACCACGTTGGGCCTTGGAACTCACATAGTCTAAGATAAAACTCCAATGCAATGCGAGGGGAGCACTGTATTGTCGGAGATGCCAGATGAGATGATAAACCGAGGTCCCGTCTGTGCCTGTTCAGGTGGACAGTAATAAATAATAATAATAATCCACATCTTCTCGACATCTCAAAGCGCTTCACCGAATATGCTGTAAAGTGAATTGACTGTATATTTGTGGGCGAACGCGGCAGCCAATTGCGCACAGCAATGTCCACAAACAGCCGTGGATTGAAAATGACCAATTTATTATTGTTTTGTTTTGGAGGATTATTATTAGGCTCTGTGTGGAGTAAGGAAACTTGCCCAAGGTTTCGCCCTCTGCCTGGAATTGAACTCAGGTCTCTCGCTTGCAAAGCGAGTGCTCTAACCACTGAGCTACAGGACTTCCTCATGATGTTAAAGATGTTAAAGATCTGTGGCGCTACCTGAAAAGAGAAAATTGACTGCCGGGTTCATCCACAAAACACACAGTCACCACCCTTTACGGTAAGTCCTGCAAAGCGCTTTGGCGTAGCCTCTTGACAAGAAAGGTTACACACACATACACACGCAACAACACACATGAACAACACACAAACAACACACACACACACATACACATCTCACGTCTGCTCATTGTGCTGAGGTTTTTGTGTGCAGGAGATTTTGAAGCGCTCGTCTGGGATCAAGCTCCGACACTGGGTACTGCCAAGTGTTACAGGAGGATTATAGGGTGTAATTCCCTGCCATGTGATCTTGGCAGATTCCCACGGGCGGCCACAAACACTGCAGGCTTTTCTGCGAGTCTTAAATGAATAGTCTGCTTTAAATAATCCGTTGGTTGCCCTCTGGTTACCCCCCCCCACCACCCCCCTCACCCACACTCTAAGGGGCCATCGTTCACCCGTGGAGCCGCAGAATAATAATAATAATAATCCTTGTATTTAATACAGAGCTTTATCACGTTTCAAAGCGCTTCACAGAATATACTGTAAAGTGAATTGGCTATATATTTTGTGGGGGAAAAGTAATTCATTAATTTTTTGAAGGGATTATTATCCCCGGAAAAGCGATCCGCCAATCGACTAACAACCCGGTTCCGATTTACTGCTGGTAAACAGAGGTGTGTGGAGTAAGGAAACTTGCCCGAGGTTTCGCCCTGCCTGGGAATCAAACCCAGGTCCTCTCGCTTGCGAGACGAGTGCTCTGATCAATATGCTACAGGACTGCACTTCCAAGAAGGAGGTGGCCTTAGACACGGTTTAAGAGATAGGCTTCAAGATGGGTCTTGAAGACAGATAGAGAGGAGGTGAGGCAGAGAGGGGTGTGTGGCGAGAGGGAGGGAGATCTGATGGTCAGGTGAGTAGAATCAATATTGATCCCATCATATCAGATGACGATTGGTGGAGAAAGCTTAATTTGGAAATGCTGAGGTGTTAGGAAGCTATGAGGTTAGGAAAGTTAGTAAATAAGGAGACAGCGGAAACTTCGCCTCCTAGAGTCAGGCAGATGTTATTAACTGCTTCATGATTATGATGTGGTTTTGGTTGTGACCTATTTTCTCACTTTCGGTCATCTCTCTTTCACTCCCCACCACCACTTTCCGCTTGAGAACATTATTGGATCTCACAAGAATCTCATAAATAGAGATACAGCAAACTGACACAAGACAAGTTGTATTGTAATAATAATAGTAGTAATAATAATAATCCTTACGTTTGATATAGCGCCTTATCACATCTTCAAGACGCCTCAAAGCGCTTCGTGGAATATACTGAAAAGTGTAGCGACTGGGTATTTTGTGGGCGAAATATTTTATCGTGAATGGGAACAACATCAAAGTAGAATGACAGGTAGGCAAATCAGAAGTTACAACAATACCATAGAAGTCTACATTTGCACAGAGCCTTTCACATCGGGAGAGGGTTCCAAGGCACTTGACAATCCTGGCTCAGCACCCGAACTGTGGGGAGGAGCTAGAAATGGGGGAGGGCAGGTAGGGGAAAGATGACCGAAAGTGCTGTCAAAGAGGTAGGTCTTGACATGGACCTTGAAAGAGGTGAGGGAGGGGAGGGGAGGCGAGTCGGAGAGACTCCGGGATGGAGTTGCTGAGAGCCGGGGCAGATAGGCTGAAAGCCTGACCATGGACGATGAGGTGGGGTGGGTTGGGGGTGGGGAGGGGCGCAGGGAGGGGGCTAAGATGTTGTGCTAAGGAAATGGCCAGTTCATGGACCTCCCTGATGTATCCTGTCAATCATAAAGGGGAGGCGTTAGCCTGAAGCTCGATGAGGTCTAAGCTCCTCAAGTGATTAGAGAATCACAAAGAAGCCGGGCAGGAGGTGTGAGGGCGAGAAAAGCAAACTCCCTCCCTCAGCTCTTGAGATAAAGAGTTTCCTGCAAATAATATTCACGTTAGTCACCATTAGCCGAGTAATACGTTGCGAAGGACTGTAAAAGGCAAAGGGAAGTAACGAGTTAGCTTTGTGTCAATATGGAAATGTCCACTGAAGAGACTGAATATCCTCAGAGGATTCTGCAGTACATGGAAGGCTTTCTGGTGTCTAAGGTAAATGACAACTTATAATATAATAATAATAATCTTGCATTTGATATAGCGCCTTATCACGTCGTCCCGGAATCTCAAAGCGCTTCACAGAATACACTGTAAAGCGAATTGACTGTATTTTGTGGGTGAAACGCGGCAGCCAATTGCGCACAGCAGCGTCCCACAAACAGTCGTGGAATGACGAGGCGATGTATTAAAAGCAAGGATTATTATTATTACTGAAAAGCAATATGGTTTGGGACGTTACTCCCGGATTAGACTGAACGAATTAACAACAGTAAACATAAGAACGTAAGGCTTTGCTCATCAAAACAAGACCAAATTCCATCCATTTCGCTTTCCACCACCCTGGCAGTCGCTTGACATGTCGTGTCCCACACATCAAAATATTCAGTCGATTCACTTCACAGTGTGTCCTGTGAAGCGCTTTGAGACGTCTCGAAGACGCGATAAGGCGCTGTATTAAATGCCAGGATTATTGTTATTATTGTCTTCGGGTCTCGAAACACTTCACAGGATTTACTGGGTATTTTTGTAGGTGAACCCGGCAGCTGATTTGCCCACAGCAACATCCGTTAAGTGAATCATTTATTTTTATCTGGGGGATTATTAGCCACTGGCATGCCATGAACTTATCAGCCAGGACACTGGGAGAAACTCCCTTCTCTTTTACAACTCGTGTCCACCTGAACAGGTACAGGTGGGACCTTCCTCAATATACATGTAAACTCCAGCACAGACTAGTTAGGCTGTTTGCATGTTGTGTCGCTCTATGTATGTCCTTCCAAAAAAAAAAAATAATAATTTGCTCACTCGATCCACGACTGTTTGTGGGACGCTGCTGCGTGCAATTGGCTGCAGCTTTTCGCCCACAAAATACACAGTCACTCCACTTTACAGTATAATCTGTGAAGCACTTCGAGACGTCTCGAAGATGTGATAAGGCGCTGTATTAAATGCCAGGATTATTATTATTATGTAGCTCTGTGAATCATACTCGTGTTGATACCCTGTCCAAACCTCTTTGAACCCACAGACCATGTTTGCGGCCTGTGAGCTGGGAGTGTTTGACCTGCTGCTAGAGGCAGGATGTCCTCTCTCTTCCAAGGCCATCGCTAAGCAGCTGGGAGCCAGCACTGACGGTATAGACCGGCTCCTCACTGCTTGTGTGGGACTTCAGCTCCTGCAAGTGGAGAGACACCAACAGGGGGAAGGTAACCCCACCCCAGCACTGTGACCCCATCACCCCCACCCTCTCCAGCTCCACTGGCTCCCATCCCCCAGAGGATAGTGTTCAAAATCCTCGTCCTCACCTTCAGGGCCTTCCGTGGCCTTGCCCCCTCCTACCCCTGTGCCCTGCTAACATCATATCAATCTGTCCACTCCCTCCACTCAGCACAGCAGCCCATGTCCCCCTTCCAACTTGCCCTGCCATTGGCAGTTGGGCTTTCAGCCTCTCTGGCCCACTACTGGAACCCATCCCACAGTCCCATTGCCTCGTTCCCTTCCCTGCCTCCTTCAAGGCAGATCTCAAGATCATCCCCTTTGACCGTGCCTTCGGTCACCCTTTCCCCACCCCCCCGCCCTCCATTCCCCCTGTTCCCAAACCCCAGCTCAGGTCCAAATAACTGACCGTCCAGTGCCTTGAGAGGTCCTCCCAACGTGAAAGACTCCGTCAGTGTAATTTGTTGCTGTTGTATAAGACGTGTAAGGCTCTATATCAATGTAAATTTGTGTTGCAGCTCAGCCCCTCTATAGCATAAAATCCCACTTTATAATCTACCATTTCGGCCACATTTATGCTCACCTCCCACCCACCCCACCCCACCCCACCCCCCGCTTGTGTCCAAAATCATCTCCGAGACATTCTCTGTGGATAAATGCTATTTGTAAGTATCATAGAAATGTATAACATAGAAGGAGGCCATTCAGTCCATTGAGTCTGTCCTGGCTCTCAGAGCAAGCTGTCCATTCAACCACTCTGGCCTGACCTATCCCCACACCCCTTTAAGCCTCTATCCTTTATATACCTGTCTACTTCCCTCTTGAAACTCACAATGGACTTGGCCTCCATCACCTAAGGATTATTATTATTATTATTATCATTATTATTCAGTCTTGTACGGCAACACTGGAATCTCCAAGATCTACCTGACCAAATCCAGCCCCAAAACACTCTATCATTCATACAATATGAGTCGCAAACCATCTACCGTTGCTGGTTCTACCTGACTGACGCCATCAGGTAAGAGACATATCCTCAGGTTTACACAGCAAAACTCATCTGATTTGTATAAATCGTTTAATCGCCCAAGTCGTACATCTGCTAAAATCCCGTCCAAGAGTTTATCTTCTACGCAAGTTTGGCCTAACTCATATTCTGCATAAATCATATTAATAGAAATAAATAAATATAATCCATGCATTTGATATAACACCTTATTTTGTCCACAAAACGCACAGTCACTCCACTTTACAGTATATTTTGTGAAGCACTTTGAGACATCTCGAAGATGTGATCAGGCGCTATATCAAATGCAAGGACTATTATTATCATTATCACGTCTTCGAGACGTCTCAAAACGCTTCACAGAGAATACTGTAAAGTTAATTGACTGTGTAATCTGTGGACAAAATGTGGCAGCCAATTGCGCAAAGCAGTGTCGCACAAACAGTCGTGGATTGAGTGACCAAATTATTATTATTATTTAACTGTCTGGTCCCAACTGATACAACTTATGTGAGGTTCACTGTATAATTCTTTATAATTTAATGTCAGACAGGCTCAGTTGGTAGCACTCTCACATCGCACAAGATCAGTCTAGAAGGCCCTTCGGTCCATCCTATCTCATCCGCTCAGATCCCCTGCCCTGCCATCCTCCCATCACAGCATCGAGCTCTTTTCCAAATGAGTCCCAGTGGGTTGGCCTCAACCAGCCTTCCTGACAACTCTGTTCCAGATGTAATAACAGTTGTGCTTGTTGACTATGTCTTGGGACCCCATAGTGTGCGTTGGGCTAACGGCTGGAGTCTAACTGGTGTCACCCATATAGATTGCCATTGATATCGCTGTCTGGCAAGCTTTCCTGCTGCTTTCGATCTCCCTCCATTCTCCCCCAGCCCGACCCTCCGCTCGGGTCCATAACTCTGTCTATCCAGCGCCTTGGGACGTCCTCCTGACATGTAAGGTGCTGTACACATGTCATTTTGTTGTTGAGGGTATTCCAAACTGAGATGTTAAACCAAGATCCCGTCTTGCCCGTTCAGGTGGGTGTTAAAGATCCCGCCCGAGGCGCTGTTTGAAAAGAGAAGGCAGTTTCTTTCCCCCGGTGTCCTGGCCAACAATCCCTCTCCCAATTAAAATTAGTCATTTGTTTCACAGCTGTTTGTGGGACATCGCCTTGCGCACAATACAGTCATTTAATTTCAGTATGTCCTGAGAAGCGCTTTGAGACGTCCTTCCGACATGATGTGTGGAGTCCTGTAGCTCAGTGGTTAGAGCACTCGCTTTGCAAGTGAGAGACCTGAGTTCAATTCCCGGCAGAGGGCGAAACCTTGGGCAAGTTTCCTTACTCCACACAGAGCCTAATAATAATCCCTCCAAAACCAAAACCAATAATAAATTGGTCATTTTCAATCTACGACTGTTTGTGGGACATTGCTGTGCGCAATTGGCTGCCGCGTTCGCCCACAAATATACAGTCAATTCACTTTACAGTGTGTTCTGTGAAGCGCTTTGGGACGTCCTCCCGACGTGAAAAGCGCTATATCAAATGCAAGGATTATTATTATTATTATTATTATTATTATTGTCCGACTAGGAGCACCCTATCCCTTACGGCTTTGGCTTCCAGGGTAAACCAAGCGATTTAGCTATTTATTTTCTATTTAGCTTTTTAGCTCTCAATGGCGAGTTATGTGGGTTTAGCTGATTAGACTCCAGCAGTTACCCCAACACACACTCTGGGTCCCCAAGCCTTGGCTCTCGCTAACCTGCGCCAAATACTCTCCGGGATTATGTCCCTCCAGGGAGAGAGAGCGCATTCCACTCCAACAATCTATCTCTGGGATTTCCATGTGTGGGTGGGATGCAGGGAATTCTCAGTTTGGTTTAGAGACTCTTTTAAGCAACGGTGATGGGTTTCCGCGTGTGTCAGACACCTGGCTGCCCCCAAAAAAGTTACTTAGCTGTTTACCTCCAATCAATTTTGTAGCACAAGAGTAGACCGAGAGGCAAAATAACCTCCTGCCACACTTTACAGTTATTATATTATATATTATTATATAATTTATTAGTTTGGTTGTGGGATACTGCTGTGTGCAATTGCCTGCCCTTTTTCGCCTGCAAAATATACAGTCACTACAATTTACACCAAATTCTGTGAAGCGCTTTGATGCGCCTCGAAGACATAAGGCGCTATAACAAATGCGAGGATTGTCATTATTATTATTTTATGTTATTATTTTAATAAAGACTATTATTAAATGTATCGTAATATTACTTTTAAGACGATTGTTATTACAGAAGTGGCGACGATTCTCTTGCAGGGAAGGGAAAAACCAGTATAAAAGGGCGTTCGGTGTGTCTGCGGAAGAGATCTTCGATGCCCTCTATAGGTGTGTTCTGGTCTTCGATTTCGTTAAAACAGTTAAAAGAGATCATGAATGAAACTGTTAGGATGGAGTCCTGTGGCTCAGGGGTTAGACCCCTCGCCTCGCAAGCCAGAGGACCGGGTTTGATTCCCGGGCAGAGAGAAACCTCAGCCAAGTTTCCGTACGCCACACACCTCTGTTTACTGAGCAGTGAGTAGGAACCCGGTTGTTAATCGATTGGTGGATCGCTTTCCGGGGGTAATAATCCCTTCAAATTAAATAACTAACTAAATAATTTGGTCACTCAATCCGCGACTGTTTGTGGGACTGTGCGCAATCGGCTGCTGTGTTTCACCCACGAAACACGCAGTCAAGCCGGGTTCTCTGGGGTGTGAGGGCAAGCGTGTTAACCGCTACTCTACGGGCTCTGTGTTAAATGTAAGCGTGTTCGCGCTGGGGAGGACCTGATGCTGTGCTGCTTCCCGCAGGTCGGACGAGGAGATGATGAAGTTTATGCAGCTGATGAATTCTGTCTGGAACGTTTGTGGGACAGACGTGGTGACGGCCTTCGACCTTTCCGGTTTTACCACCATCTTTGATCTCGGAGGTGAGTGAGTGCAATCGATTGGAGATGGAGCCTCCTTTCAGCCTATATCACCACAACACATCTGTCAATCCCAATATCCCGCACACGCAGACACACGGACACACACGCGCGCACACACATGCACACCGCGCGCGCACACACATGCACACCGCGCACACAAACACACACACTCTTACATACACACACACACGCACAGACACGCACTCTTACACGCGCACACACATGCAACGTTCGCACACACGCACACGCACCCACAGGCACATGCACACACTAGCACCCAAATACTAATATTTGTTAAATCTTTATCTGTTTTAAACATAATATTAATAATAATAATAATTCCTGCCTCTGAAATGGCGCCTTATCGTGTCGTTGAGACATCTGAAAGCGCTTTGCAGACTACGTTGTAAAGTGAAGTGACTGTGTGTATTTTTTGGGTGAACAAGGCGGTCAGTTTGCACCCAGCAACGTCCCCACAAACAGCAAAGACTAATTTTGTTTGGGGGGAATTGTCGGCCAGGACACCGGGAGAGAGAAACTCCCTTCTCTTCTCAAATAGCGCCGCGGGATCTTCAAAGTCAACCTGAACAGACAGACGGGATCTCAGTCTCATCAGAAGTACGGCACCTCTGGCAAAGCAGTGTCCCCGTCCCCCCACCCCCCCACACACACACACATCACTGCACTGGAGAGACAGCCTAGATATGGGTCCTCAATGTGCTTCGGGCAGTAATTGTTGTCAAGTGTAGTGACTGCCTTTTGGGCCCACTTTGCATACAGCAAGGTCCCACAACAACACCTTATATTTATATCGGGTCCTTCACACAGGCTAGCGTCTCGGAGCGCTTCAATGGTACGTGGTTTGACGCACAAGGAAGCAGTGGAATGGAGAACCATCAGCCACGACACTGTGAGATACACCACTCACACAGGAGTTGACAGGCACAGGGTGAGCTAAGTGGAGAGCTCTCACAGACAGCCGGCAAACGGCCTCCTTCTGCCCTGAAACACTCCAGTGATTCTGCTCCGAATGCCCTTTACTGACCTGCTTTCCCCCTTCCTCCCCACTCCGCCATTGTTTCCCCGTCTGGAGCAGAACGCACATCAAGGCAAAGCACTTAAAGACGTCCTCCTGGGATGAAAGGCGCTGTATTGATTGCAAGGATTATTATTATGATTCATTATTATTATTTGTTATTATACAATTATTATTTTTTTCTCTTTCAGGATGTACTGGTGCCATTGCCAAAGAGTGCTTGTCCGCCTACTCACAGGCAAGAGTAACCATCTACGACCTGCCTAAAGTGGTCAAAATGGCAAAAGAACATTTTGTGGCTCAGGAGGAAACGAGAATTTCATTCCATGAAGGTGAGGATCCAAACAGCCTGTGGGGGGAGGTGGGGGGGAACTCAGGACTCGGAACACCCCCCAAACCCCAGGGACCCCAACCCCAGGTTCCAGGTCCCTCACAATACAAATATCTATCAACGTGTAGACATGTTTATGTGTGAAATCAGGGGCAGGTTTTCACCCAAAGGCCGGTGGGGATCTGGAACTCTCTCCCCCAAAAGGCTGTGGATTCTGTGTGGATCCATTCACATTGTCCAGACTGAGGGGAAGAGATGTTTGTCAGGTCAGGGGATCAGGGGATATGGGGCAAAGGCGGGTAATTGGAGTGGAGGTACAGATCAGCCGTGATCTTATTGGGGGAACAGGCTCAAGGGGCTGAATGGCCTCCTCCTGTTCCTCTGTTTCTATGTTTGTAGGTTGAGGTGAAAAGAACCCTTCGTAATCTCACACAAAAGGTTCAGATGAAGAAGACCCTTCAAAATCATCTGATCTCATCTCTGCAAAATACCCACCCTCCAGTCTTCCCTGAATATTATTATTATTCTTCCCATTACAGCAGTGTAATCAGTCCCAGTGTCCTGGCCTCAACCTTTTCCAGTCGTTAATTACAGTCATGTGTTGGTACATGTCTTGGAGCCCTCAGCTTGTGATTTGGGGAGTAACTGCTGGAGTTTAACCAGTGAAAAACACATTGCTAACCATTGTATTATAATAATAGTAAACATAATAATAATCGTTGCATTTGATATAGCGCCTTTTAACGTCAATGAGACGTCTCAAAGCGTTGCACAGAATATACTGTAAAGTGGATTGTCTGTATTTCATGGGCAAAACACGGCAGCCAATTGCACACAGCAGTGTCCCACAGGCAGTCGTGGATTGAGTGACCAAAGTTTTTTGGGAGGGATTATTACCCCTGAAAGCGATCGGTCAATCGACTAACAACTGGATTCCTACTTACTGCTGGGTAAACAGAGGTGTGTGGAGTAAGGAAACTTGGGTATGTAATGTAAACTTACACCCTGCCCGGGAATCGAACCCGGGTCCTCTCGCTTGTGAGGTGAGGGCTCTAACCACTGAGCTACAGGACTCCACATTGAAAGCAAGGATTCAGCCAGGTTGACCCCAAGATAGAAGGGCGATAGGAAAGGATATGGAGAAAAGCCAGGGAAATGGGATGAAGCGATCCATTATTGTGTTGCAATAAACTGGCAAGTACAGGCTTGAGGGGCTGAATGGCCTCACAGTGTGCCCGGCTCGCTGCGGGCAGGGTTAATGGATGCATTTTTTCACGGACGCAGGTGATTTCTTCAACGATCCCATACCCAATGCCGATCTGTACATCCTGGCCAGAGTCATCCATGACTGGACTGAGGAGAAATGTGTGCAACTGCTCACCAGAGTCAACAAAGCAGGGAGACCAGGTGCGTTCATACGGCATCAGGCAGTGATGCACAGCAACCTGCGTATTCACAAGCAATGCCACCTAATAATAATAATAATACTTACATTCGATACAGCGCCTTATCACGTCTTCGAGACGTCTGAAAGCGCTTCACAGGATACACTGTAAAGTGAATTGGCTGTATATTTTTTGGGCGAAACGTGGCAGCCAATTGCACACAGCAGCGTCCCACAAACAGCCGTGGATTAAGGGAACAATTTATTTTTGTTAAAAATTTGAAGGAATTATTATCCCGGCAAAAGCGATCCACCAACCGGGTTCCTACTTCCCGCTGGTACACAGAGGCGTGTGGAGTAAGGAAACTTGCCCAACACTTTGCCCTGCCCGGGAATCAAAGCCAAGTCTCTCGCTTGCAAAGGGAGTGCTCTAACCCCTGAGCTACAGGACTCCACAATACACTACAACTATTTGTTGTTTTCGGGTGGACGTTAAAGATCTCGCAGCGCTACTAGAAAAGAGAGTTGTCACAGCTCTACTCTCTTCCATTGTCCTGACCGACAATCCTCCCCCCCCAAACCCCCGCCATCCCCCCCTTCCCCAGATAAAAGATATCACCCACTTCAGGACTGTTTGTGGGGATCTTACTGTGCACAACGTGGACTGGTTTGTCCGCCTACAAAACACGGTCACTCCACTTACAGTAACACCCTGCGAAGCACTTTGAGACGTCTTCCCAGCTTGAGAGACTCTAATAATAATATTAACAGACATTTGACATAGTGCTTTATCACTCCGTTGAAGTTTGAGAGGAAAGGTCAGTCAGTCACCGGGGATTGTGTCGCTGTTTCCCCAGGCAGTGGAGTGTTGCTGATCGAAGCTCTACTGAATGAGGACAGGAGTGGACCCCTGAGCACACAGCTCTACTCTCTCAACATGCTGGTCCAGACCGAGGGGAGGGAGAGGACAGCCATTGAGTACACCGCGCTGCTGGAGGGAGCCGGCTACAGAGACGTGCAAGTCAGGCGGACAGGGAAGCTGTACGATGCCATCTTGGGCAGGAAGTGAAGGCGGATGGACAGAGGGACAGACAGAAGAACGACGCTTAGTTTCCTGTCACCAAACTGATGCGGAGATGCACGTATTTTTTTTATACAGTATATCCTGTGAGGCGCCTTGAGACGTCTCAGCAATGTGATAAGGCGCTGTAATAATAATAATAATAATAATACGTGCATTTAATGCATCGCCTTATCACGTCTTCGAGACAACAACAACACCTTGCATTTATATATGAGTCTGAGGGGGAGCCCAGGGAGGTTGAGGAGTTTAGATCCGCAGGAGTGAAGACATTGACGGGAGCCAAGATGGCTTCCATCTTGTCCATATTCAGCTGCAGGAAGTTTACACTCATCCAGGCCCTGCTGTCTGCCAGACAAACTGATAGAACATCGGGGACCTGGAGTTAGCAGGTTATGGGGTGAGGTATTGTCGGAGATGGGCAGTGTGGCGGAGGTGGAGGAAAGCGGTGCTGGTCAGGGACCGGATGTGGGGGAGGAAGGATAACTGGGCATCGAACCTGACGACTAAGTTGCGCACGGGTTCAGAGAGTTTTAAGGGCAGGTCGGGTAGGTTGAGGAGGTCAGAACCGTGGGACAGAAGATGTTGACGGGAGTCAAAGAGTATGGCCAGAGATACGATCCGCCAATCGACTAACAACCAGGTTGGTGGAGTAAGGAAACTTGCCCAACATTTCGCACTGTCCGGGAATCGAACCCAGGTCCTCTCACTTGCGAGGTGAGTGCTCTGACCACTGAGCTACACGACCCCACTGAGCCTGGAGGCCATAAAAGACGGGGACAAGGGAGGGTTTGGGCTGCATTGGGATCGAGGTCGTGCCGGAATCATACAACATGTGACTATATACTTTTTAATTAAACGGGGGAAAAAATCCCAGTTAATTCAAACAGTAGGGATTTTTGTTTGAATGCAAAATTCCGTCCCAGATATGAATTAATAAAACTCTGAAGATTCTCAAGAGGAACGCGGTTAATATTTTGCTAATTGGATTCCTGCTGCTCTGTGCTCAGTAATATAAGCAAATTGAGTCCTGTTGTGTATTGGTTAGAGCACTCGTCTCCCAAGCGAGAGGACCTGCGTTCGATTCCCGGGCAGGACGAAACGTTGGGTAAGTTTCCTTACTCCACAAACCTCTGATTACCAGCAGTGAGTAGGAACCCGGTTGTTAGTAAATTGGCAAATTGCTTTTCTGGGGGTAATAATCCCTTCAAAAAAAAATAATAATTTGGTCACTAAATCCAAGACTGTGGATTATTTCTTCAAAAAAATTAATAATAATAAATTGGGAACTTGGACGCTGCTCTGCGCAATTGGCTGCCGTGTTTCCCCCACAAAATATACAGTCAATTCACTTTACAGTGTATTGTGTAAAGCACTTTGAGACGTCTCAGCGACGTAATAAGGTGCCATATCAAATGCAAGGATTATTATTATTATTAAGCGTGGTGATGGGTTTCTGAATGTGTCAGACATCGAGCTGACCCCCTAAAAAATCCCCCCATGGTCTTTCTCCTGGGTTACTTATAGCAGTCTCCAGGAGATTAATCTTTAATCCTAGGGTTACCAGGACAATCGATGAGATTTGGTAACTAAAACTTGAACCGAACAATTCTGACGAAGGTGAGAGCGAGAGTGACTGAGCCAAGACCACATCAGAGCTGTCTGGTCCTGGAGGAAGTATTATTTTATTGAGCAGAGCTACAACACAACAGTAGAGGGCAGACATAGCTAACTAACAGCTTCCCCTGATCTTCTACAACTTATTATAAAAAGAACCAGAGACATTCCCAGGTGATCTGCAGTGTTGAGGGGTAAAGGCTGGCAAATTGTTATATTCCTTACAATAATCCTTGCATTTGATATAGTACCTTATTCGTTGTTGAGACGTCTCAAAGCGCATCACAGGATACACTGTAAAGTGAATTGATTGTATACTTTGTCGAAGAAAAACAGACATCAATGTCCTACAAACAGTCCTGCCTGGATTAAGTTAGCAACTTATTATTATTTTTTATTTACCTTACAATTTACTGCTTACAAGGTAAACAGAGGCACGTGGGCAAAGGAAACTTGCTTTTTGCTTGCAAGGCGAGTGCTCTAACCAATACGCTACAGAACTCCACAAAGCTCTTAAAACACCCAACAGAGACACGATGGATCAAAATGGTCTTCTGTGCTGTAAATTTCTACGAGTGTCAGAGTTACCATAGTCTGAGACACACTGCAGTGGGGAATTATATCTTGTTTCCAATTTATACTAAATGATTCTATCTACAATTTAGCACTCAGACTCCCAATTGAATCACACAAATAGAGGTTTGGATTAAGAAGTCCCTTCGGCCAATCTGATCTCATCCTTCCAGCCACCCTATCATCCTCCCAAAACAGCTGATCCTCAAATTAGTCCAGTGTCCTGGCCAAAGTCACTCTTTCTGTGTATATCCCCGTGTGTGTGTGTGTGCGTGTGTGTGCGTGTGTGGGGGGGGAGTGCGCGTGGAGAGGGAGGTACAGCGGGGTCTCTATTTACACCCCCAATCCGCTCGACTGGCTCCGGCCTTCTGCTTGTCCCTCGTTCCCTCCGCTCCACCATTGGTGGTCGCGCTTTCAGCCAATACAGCCCGAAACTCTGGAACTCTCTCCCTCCATCCCTCCGCCTCGCCCCCTCTTCAACGTCCCCATCTTCAGGTCGTGCCTGAAGACCTTCCTCTTCGGTCAGCCCCCAGCCCCTAGCTCGGCACCGTGCTCCGCCACTCTCAAGCGCTGTGAGATGCTACCGTGTGAGGGGCGCTATATAAATGCAAGTAGTTGTTGTTGTCTCCTTGGAGCTGAGCTTCCTCTGAGTTGACGTGCTTGGCAACCGAATGGTAATGACGGGGTCAGCCATTGTGGTTGTCCCCTTCGGTATTCCGCTTATTGTTTAGCGCTTTGGGTGTCCTCCAGACATATCGTACAGGATTGTGTTCACCTTTCTGCAAAAGAGATGCCACTGTGATGAATAACTGCAGTGACTAATTGATTCCAGTCTTGGCTGTGAAGTGGAATGATTTGTGAAGTGTTTGTTCGGAGTCTGCCCCATTCTGGGAGTTACTTACAAATCTGTCAGTTGCCAAGATCAACCACAAGGACTTTCTTCTGATTTATGCAACCGAAACATAAGAATATTTTTTGGTCACTCCCTCAAAATTTGATACAGAGCCTCATCACGTCTTTGAGACGTCTCAAAGCGCTTCACAGAATATACTGTAAACGGATTGACTGTGTATGTTATGGGCGAAACACAGCAGCCAATCGACACACAACAGTGTCCCATAAACAGTCATGGATTGAAATGACCGATTTATTATTTTTTTTAAAGGTATTATTACCCCTGGAAAGTGATCCACCAATTGACTAACAGTCAGGCTCCTACTTACTGCTGGTAAACAGAGGTATGCGGAGTAAGGAAACTTGCCTAAGGATTCGCTCTGCCCGGGAATCGAACCTGGGGCCTCTCGTTCCAGCTCCTTGGGATGCCCTCCCGACGTGAAAGGCGCTTTACAAATTTCCATGTGTAGGTTTTACACGAAATCAGTTAAAATCTCACAGTTTGCCAGTGAGAGCGCTTCTGGCCAGCTATCTCGCTGCTTGTCCAGCTAAGGACCCCCTGACCTGTTAGGGTTTTGGCTGTAGGGTTAACAGGAGCTGAGTGTGAAGAGTCCCTCAGTGGCTGATCTGCCCTTCAAGGTCCTGCCGGTGAGTTGGGCTGAACCGTCATCAGCCTTGCCCTGGAATACCGTGGACCTGCCTGGCTCAGGAACCAGATTACCGCGGGAGATTGCCACAGAGGATTTCGACATTCAGTTGCCAAGCGCGTCACCTCTCAGGCAGCTCAGCTCCGAGGAGGAAGCCCTCCCCCCCACACCCCGAGAAGGATAATTTCAATCGCAAGTAGTTTGTGGGCAAACGTGGCGGGCAGTTTGCATACAGCAAATCAGAGTGACTAGCGGTGTGACAGCAGCTCCCACGAGCCTTCCCCAATCCTTACATCAACAGCTTTCATTTTGTGATAGCGTCAAACTGTATCAAACACACACACAGAATCTGAGCCCTGCTCCTGCGAGAGACAGGATTAGCAGACGTGATCAGTATGTATCCTGGAATCATAATACTCAGTAATAACCACCTCAAAAGCCAGCCCTAAGCAGGTGGTCCAATCTTTTGGCTGCTGAGGGCCAGAAACATAGCATAACATTTATGGGTTATGGAGGGAGCAGGTTTGCCAGATGAGACGGAGGGAGGTGGGGCCGGATTCGGCCCGCGGGCCACCAGTTGGACCAACCTTCCTAAATGATGGGCTCCACAATGCGTTGAAACACGATTGAAAGATCGGATTGCATTTTAACAAAGTCTAATCTTCAGGCATGCAGTTGCAAGGAATTGAAGCGGAAAGCAATTTCAATTGTAAGTGGTCCGTGGGCGAACACGGCAGCCAGTTTGCATACAGCAAATCAGATTTAAGATAATTGGCAAAAGAACCAGAGGGGAGATGAGGAGAATTTTTTTTATCCAGAGAATTGTTACGGTCTGGAATGCATTGCCTGAAAGGGTCGGTGGAAACAGATTTGATGATAGCTTTCAAAAGGAAACTGGATAGGTCCTTGAAAAGGAAACATTTGTAGGGCTATGGGGTAAGAGTGGGAATGATTGGCAGCTCTTTCCAAGAGCTGGCACAGGCATGATGGGCCGAATGGCCTCCTTCTGTGCTGTAACATTCTATGATTCCACGAAATGTCCCACAAACAGCCATGAAGTGAACAACCGATTTTATTTTGCCCACAAAATACGCAATCAATTCTCCTTACAGTACACTCTGTAGACGTCTCGAAGACGTGATAAGGCGCTATATCAAATGCAAGGAGCATTATTATTTATTTGGGGGGTTGTCAGCTCTGTTCCCTGCCCCTGGGGGGGCAGCAGCAAGTAATATATAGCAACCCCTGGATTTTCACACAGCAAAAATGGGATTGGGAGCTAAATTCATTAATATTAATAATTATAATCTTTGCAT